CTCATTTGTATCCAAAGTATTATCATATTAAAAATGTCCATAATAACAAACATCCTTAGGTTGTTGTTCTGCTTAGCTGGACAATTGAATCAAGTTGATGAGATGCAAATCAGGCACTGTCCAAAAATTCTACTGTGAGCATCAAGATGAAGAGATGCAAGCACCGTATATTATGTTCCACTTTCTTTGTCCTTCAGGTGGCATATATGTCCCTATGTTGGAATTCTGATCGCACTTTATAGTTTCATAAAAACTGAACAATGGTCCCAGGAAAAGGTTACAATCTACAAACATATATAATGTGCAACGTACAATGTTACAATGAATGATCTGACGAAGTTGCTTTTAATCCCAAAAAGTCTGTTTTTGCTTGTAAGTATGATTTGTTTTTGAATATCCTTTCGAATAGGATTTGAATATCAGTTACAAACACCAACGGGTCTTTGAAGATCATTCTGGTTTTTACTGGTTTATCTTTCTGAATGTTCATGATCCACAAAATACATTAGTTCGGAAGGAAAGAGAAAATGTTGGAGCCTGTATCCTGAAAAATGTACCTTGGGAAAACAGGTTGTTGTTGTTCTTCACTGTTTCCTAATGACATTCAACGTGATTAAGAAAAGAAATCTGAAATTGGTTTTAAAGTTTATTAAAACCAACACTTTTGGAGAGGAATAGATTTTTTCATGCTGCTCAAATATGATCCTTTTTTTTGTTTAATGTCATGAATTTTACAAAATTACCTATTTATGCTCAGCACACACACACAGCGGTGGGTGCAGTGAAGTAAACACTGACAACACAACACAGTGCACATCTGTGTTGATGTCGAAAATCATTTTCAACAATTTCAGGGTTTTCTTTTTTGATCAAAATGTTTCTTTAAAAAGGTGTAGTCACAGAATCAATGCTGCCATTTTGTGGTTAAATAATGACTGAAAAACCAGAGCAAAAATATTTTTGCTTTCATTGAAATGGGTACAAAAGAGAGAGGACATGAATGAGGCTGAGACGACGCTGACCTGTGATTAAAAAAATGAATGTAGGGCAGAACAAGTGTCCGTTGGGGGTTGGAGGAGCAGAATAACATGATATGATGAGAGAAAAACAGAGCAGTGAGGATGTGGGGAGAAGTGTTGAGACAAAAGAAAATGACAGGAAGAAAGAGGAAGATGAAAATGAGCCACAGAGTTGAGGACAGACCGAAACGGGAGGACTGCTGCTCATAATGGATTGATTCTCACTTTTTTTTTTTTGAGGGTGTCTTCTTCCTGTCTCCTTGCAGACGAATGGTAATTGCCCCGCCGCCTTTAATCATGTGTTGAATTGGCAAAAAAAACAAGAGGAAAGCGCTTCTGCAGCGATTGAGAATCGATCGTTTCTTGGACTCAACCTATTGCAACTCCTCTTTATCTCCCGTCACAGCTCTCTTTCTTCCTGCCGTGGCTGCTGTAAAGCCTCTAACATTCAAACACACACATGCACACACAGACGTGTTCACACCCATGGTCAAAGTAAATGACAGACGCACTAATTACAGTGATGTTGAGGTGCAAGAGGACAAAAAGAAAGGGGGAGAGAAAAGATAAAACAGGGTTGGTGAGCAGTAATAGTGAGGCGCAGACACCCATCTAGGATAATTGTTTCGTCGAGGGTGTGATTGCCTTCACTTTCCTCCTTTTCTTCACCAACAAAGCATGTGCATCTCTTAACATCTGTCCCTCATTTAACTTAATAGTTGCACTTTGACTAGACGGTACAAGTCTCTCATTCATCTATCAATCCATCCAGCACGTCAAAAGACTTGCAGTGGGCCATAGAGGAAAAAAACGTGTGTCATGCCTAATAGAACCAGCCCTCGGATGAATCCTGAAGGAGAATCAAAGTATCTGTAATGTGTCCAGATGAAGCCTGCTTTTAAATACAGCACATGTCCAGAGAAATACTGTAAACATACTGAGTACTAAGAGCACCAGCTAAAGGACAAATGTGTCAGCTTTTGACCCCAGAAGGTTTAAAATGCTTACTGATAAGTAGGGTTTAAAAAAAGATTGGAGACTCCACTGTCAGCCATTGACAGTAAAATGCAGAAATAGCAAACGTATGCTCTGCACAAACAAACTTGTCAAGCCCACAAATTCCCACACAGTTTGGATTTTCTTTTTTTTTTTTTTTTTTTTTGACAGGAAATGAATAAATTCTGAGCTACCGGTTGAATGTGTCACTCTCAGCAAAGTACAATTTAAACTAAATGCCGCACAGAGCCGATGGGCTTTATTAGAAATTGATTTTTTTTTCTTTTACCTTTCTTTACTTTGACCTTTAAAAGGTCACTTCCAGTGTGACGGAGAATATGGCTCATTTCTGCCTTTTCCCAACATCATTATCGAATGTTTTTCGTTGCTCTCACTTAATTTGTTCACACAGTTGTTATTTTTCTATCTCTTGTTACAGTCCGTAAGAATGCAGCATACTGGTTTTGGTAACAGATAACTAGAGATAGAATAACTACTAATAATACAAAATTAATTTAACATTTTTATTTATAGCTTTATATTTTTTGAAGAAAGGTATCTTACTTCCTTCCCCCTTCATCCTTTTTCTCCCTCAGCTTTTTAACTACTACTACATTTTTCCATTCTCATTTCAGCTTTTCTTCCTTCTTCTCATTACTTTCTTCCTACCTACTTCCTTACTTCTTTTTTGTAATCTTCAACAGAGGGTTATTCCAAGACATGTTAGAGAAAAATTTGTCTCTGACAACCACTTACAGTTGTGGTTATACAAACTGGATGAAAAGTGAAATTTTTAACCTTCTATCTGAGACTGCAACTGCTTGACCCAGACCTGGATAAATAGAGCCGGATGGAGATAACTTAACAGGAGCCAGAGGTTAGGTGGTGGTCGATGTGACTGCCCAATTCATCCATTTACACTATCTGTCAGTGTTGTCAAGGTGTCAGCACAATCACAGTGCGGTTACCACTACACTAAAAAGGGTCTGAGGGTGAAAAGGCACTTGTGAGAGAGGGGCCTTTTCTTCCCCTGAAATAAAGACTGACGGACAAGGTGTGACACTGAGACCCAACCACTTAACAAACACTAATGGCTGTACCAGATTACCTGTCAAAGCCAGGGCCCATTGCCACCCAAATCACCATCACAACCTGATAACACCAGCAGCCAGAACCACAGATTAAAAAAAAAAAAAAAGCTGAGACCCACTGGGATTTTGAAAGCGGCACAGTCTTTCCTCCTCTGCCATTGTCCCACTGAGTTTTCTACATTTCCAGTACTCCACAAACCCTATGGACTGCGCATGAATGGCACTTGGCAACATGCATGAGTAACTGTATAGTTGGAATATTAGATTAACTCACCTATCACAAATTCATAATGCTTTTCAGGGGAAAAGAAAAGGTAATAAATCATGAGATCAAACAACCGAAGTTGACAATACATCTAGAGGGGGAAAACTGCAAAATAGGACAGCCATGGTCCTTTTGAGTAGTTAAATGTTTTGGGCCTAAACAAGCTTTTTAATATATTTTAGCTAAATTAAAGTTCTTCTGAATCTCATTGAGAATCACTTTCAGCTTGCCCCTTTATCGGCATAGTGATATGACACAGTCTTCATTTATCAGATGCCCTTCGTGACCAAACCTATGATGGAATTTGAGGTAAATTTGAAAAATGAACCCAAAACCTTCCACATGGTAGGCAGAAATCCTACTACTGCACCATCCCAAATACATACAACTGCTCAGTTATCTTCTGTAGTTAGTGAGTACAAATCCTAGTAATTGCTACATCCTGCTAATGTGTGCAAATGCTTTGCTCCATTTTAGGAGGTGGAGCAGAGCAATTGGACTACAGGGAATATTTGTACAACATTCTAATTTGCATCCTCCTAATTTGCACCAGCCAAAAAATCCAAAAGTGTGTGCACATCCATGGACGTGGTCGAAACATACTGCTACTGTCAGCACAACAACAGGGTTGCTTTATTACAACTACCTGGGTGAGAGAGCTTTAATTACGCTCCACGCACATTTTTGCTGCATGAAGTCTAATAAACTGTAGCATAAATCCCAAACTCATTTAGGAGCGAGATTTCACGCGTTCGATTGCATTAATCAATGATACTGAGAGGATGAATGGAAACACCACACCGTGATGCAGTCCCTGCTCCAGATGATAACATTAGCCGAGTATGATATAAGGGCGAATTTAATCAGAGTCTGAACGATTTACTTCAACTTCTATTGACATGCACTTTGGGCATGGCAGTACCATGGATTGATGAAAAACATGCAGAGAGCTATAACATTTAGGCTTGCATAGGGGACTTGCATGATTTTACATATATATATATATATACTGTATATACGTATATATCTTGTACGTGCATGTGAGGACTGTTGCTATAAGCTCCACCTTCTTCTGCAATCTTAAAAACAATTAAGTGAAATAAGTTTTTTTTAATTAAATGCTACATTAAATGCAATCATTTTTTATTGTATTTTTAGTAAGAGTAACAACTTTTTGTATTAGTTTGTATTATCTTACCTGTATTTTTCCCAGAAATGGAGTTTGTATTATCTTACCTGTATTTTTCCGTCATCAGCCTCACTCCATTATCTTTTTATCTAACACTCCATTAACCGCAATTTTTCCTCCATATTCTACTGCTCTGTTTTATCATCCATAAGCACTTTTCCTTGAAAAACTTGACAGATTTGATTAGAACGTCCAATTAAATGTTTAATTTATTATTTGGAATTTTTTGTTGGCAAATTCGTCCTTAATATGTACCCAACAGTTGTGTGTAATGCGTTGAAGGCTGGCTCTCACGCTGCCACATCTGCTGTAGTGAGGCGGTACAACTTAACAGACTGTAGGTGTGGGAGTACTTTCTGATACAAACTCAGACACACATACTCCGCCTGCTTTCACGTTGAAGTGTGTGCCTGTAAAACATCAGCTGCTTGAAAACTCACTGTGGCCTTAGATGCTCGCTGTAAATCAGGACAGATGGTCTGATCCACCAGGAGACAAACTCAAGACGAGGATGTAGAGGGGCTACTCAGAACGTCGGCGTCCTCTCTGAATAACTGAGATGTGAAATATGTGATGGCCTGTTAGTGCAGACACAACTATGAATTGTAAATTTTAAAACTCAACATTTCAAAAAGACATGAACCAAAATAATTAATAAAAATATTTGGAAAACAACATTTATGCAAAACACATTTATGAAAAAAACAGGACTTACCAAGTATTGGAGGTAATTGTGGAGCCCAAATTTGTGTAATTGACAGCAGTACAGTCCAATAGGAACCTGGCAATGAAAAAAAAAAAAAAAAAGGTTTCACTGACAGGTGCACAAAGGTTTGTTGCTAATGGACATTGCAATACAATGTTACATAATGGCCTTAACACATACCAACCATACAGATAAACTAGCAGTCAGAGCACAAAAGTAAAAACTACTTTTTTTTATTTAAAAATAAATGTTTTTTTTTATCATATAGTAGCATTTAGTCTGAAATGTAAATTATTTTTAAACAGGTTGATTTGTTTGCAAATGTTTCACAATTAGTAACTGTATAGAATAACACCAAAGGGCCACCTTCTTTTAAAGTAACATTAATGGACTGTGGTTACTGACGGCAGGTATCTGTGAAGTCTGTGAAAATCCCCTCTGCCAGCAACCTGATGTGTAGAGACACGTTTTAGTCGTCTTTATTGCATTTTGAAACTTTATCAGTGGCACGCAGGCTTCGTCAGTGTTGCAATGAGAACACACACACACACACTGTATGATGCTATCACAAGGCGAGTTAACTGCTGTGTTAAGCTTTAATGAAGAATAGATTAGGACATTAGGATGCAAAGCACACGCCATTCCCTCGCTGAGGGGTAAGGCCCGTAATGGGCCTGATAAGGAGCATTTTCTGCTGATGTCACACAAACATGATGGTCTCTGGGGGGCTGTTTTTGGCCCATTCACAATGCAATTTATCACTGAGACAAGTTTAGTTTGCTGACTTTGACTGCTGCTAATAGTTACATACGTACAAGTGGGTGTCTATACAGTAGGGAATGTTTCTAGTGAAGTATCTTGACCTTTGAACTACACATTTTTCAATGACTGGAGATCAGCAGTATCTGGTTCAAATCATCTTTTGTCCTTTAATTAACTCTCAGGAGTCTCAGGAGAGGAAGGTTGATACTTGAAACACATATATCCTGTATAAACTAGGAGTACGGTTCACAGGCATCCTGGGATCAAAGATGTTTTTGTTTTTTTTTTCATTCAACCATAATGTATGTTGATAATCCTGGAGGATTGCAGGTGCAAAACCTAATACACAATGGCTGTTGGCAAGCACCAAAACTTCTCCATACTCATTCTCCAGGCACTTCTAACAGCATCATCGACAGCTTACACGCATCGGACAAATTAAATTATGTGTCTGTATATGTACAATTTCAATATAGCAGATTATTCTTTTTCTTACATCTCGGGCTAACATGGCTTTACCAAAATGATGGCACTAGTCAAAGTCAATGGTACTGTTGCAATATTAGGTTAAATACTACCCGAATGAACACATTTTCTCAAGAGCACATGGCATTAGGTTAAATACTACCCGAAGCATGAACACATTTTCTCAAGAGCACATGGATTTCTTCAGATAAACTGTTCTGTGTTTGACGAAAAGCTCTTGAAAAACATCCCAGAAGCGTTTGTTCTGTGTAAACACACATACCTAAATTACACACTGCATTTTGTTTGTTTCATCTTCAATTCCAACACCACAGTTGGCTGCTCCAACTATTTGGGCCTTTCCTATTACCATCACCATAAATGTTACTTCAAAGTACAACAAGCACTTTCTTTCCGCCATTAAAGTCGCATCATTTTCCTCATGGCGATAAGGGAAAAAAAAGAACAAACCCATCCTGAAGTTATTTCCTCTCATCTTGGGCCCATCATCATTGCAGCCTCCTGCGTTTTTGCTTTCAAATGCCAAAGGTCACGGCACCTTTGTGGAGCTGCTCCAATACGACTGAGGCTGATAACATAAACATAAACACACATCTACAGGCCTATGATGACACACATCAAAAGAGCTGCCTGTCACTCACTAATGATTTTGACAGAGCATTAGAGCAAGTCTACAGTAGCTTAGAGTGTACGCAAAAAAAAACATGACTGATGAAGAGATAGTCAGAGCATCAGTGTGTGTGTGCATGTGTGTAAAGACGGCATGATATATGGGGTGGTGTGGACTGTTGCACCTTTCATCATCTCCTCAATAAAGTCCAGCCAGTCATGAAATGAGGATGTTAAAACCCTACAGCAAACAGAACCATTAAACTGTACAACCAGCTCCCACACGACTGTAGTTCTGATTAGGCCAAACCTAAAATTGGGTTGTCTCGGGAAGGTTGTATTGTTGTGTCCAGGATACTTTGATAAGACAAATAATCAACACAATTATTTTTTGGACTACTTTTAGCTACCCTTTAACTAGGTGTTCAGCTGACTTTCAGCTATTACTATTAAGTTAAGTTTTTTGTGATTTTCTTTTTTTTTTCTTTTTTGTTTTAAATATATATATATATATATATATATACATATCAGCCAAATCCAATCCAAAATGTTAAAGCTTTTCGTATCACTGAATGTCCATCAATCAAATCAACATATTTTTCAACAAGGAAAAATCCAGTGCTACCTGTTACTGTGTTGGGAAATCAGGCTTCATAAATAACAGAAGGAAATAAATGTGACCTTTACAGGATAAGCTTTATCCCACTGTTTTCTACAAAGACAAAAAGCAACTGGTAAGGAAAGGTTTGATTCCTCTGATGTGTGAACATGTGCAGCAGGTAAGTAGGATTTATGGAGACAGTAAACCCACGGATGCTTGTCAATGCCTCTGCTGCGACTCCCCACACGTGCACGCACGCACACACACACACACACACACACACACACACACCCTGGTACTCTACCTCCCCTAGTTTACTGCAATGCGCCAGCAGTGGTTAGCACATACGCACTAGGAGACAAAAGAGAGACAGAGAGATGGAGAGGAACAGACCAGCCAAACACTCACAAAACACTCCTGCTATGGACTTTCTCCTTCCTCTCCATTGATTCTGTGGATACATTTTTTTAATGCACCCTCATCAATAGCACTGGTGGTCTGACAAATGCATTTTTCAAACACTTGGCAGTCAATAGTAATTTAGTCTGTATCTTTGTCCCTTGAGTAAAGGGTCTCGATCAATTGAGGTGATGAAAATTCAAATAAATCAGAGTCCGAGGGGTGGTGAAGCAGAGCACCAATCTGTGTCCAGTGGAGCACAGTACATGTGTTTGTATAAAAAAACAATATACTGTATATACTACAGTACATTACAGTACTTTGAACGAAAGATCAGTTGGAGCTGTGTGTTCTAAAAGAAGTCTCAAAAGACTGTTCTGGACACGTGTTCTCCTTTTGTGTTAAGAGTTGATACAACAAGAACCAGATACAATATCCACAGGGGGACGGAGGAGAATGGAGAGGCAACAGACTGCTGAGCAGCATCTGTTCTGTTCTGTTCTGTTCAAAATGTGCAGAAATGCGTACAGATGGCAAAGAAAACACATTTACCACACTCTCACATCAAGAACACAATGCCTTAGAAAACATCAGGACGCTTCATTGTCCTGTGAGACAATAAAATATATGTTTCACAAAGTATGAAGACTATGCTGACACCTAAAAACTCTGGAGATTTCAAATACTGCAGAAATGTCATTTCATCAGCAATATTAATTTCCTACACCTGATAATATATCATAAGCATGTATCTCAGTGGCCACTGTTGCCACTGAGATACTGTACATGCAAGGCAATTGTGGTAATCAAGCACTGCATTTTGTGTGCTGCTTCTATTTTTAAAGCGCCCCCTGCTGTGATGGACACAAGATAAATGATAAACGTAGAGTGATGAAGCTGCACTTTTTCAAGCGGTGTAGTTATTCATCAAACAAAGTCACATTTGTGGTTGTTGGTTATTTTTACAACTCAAAACAGCGAGTTAAAAATTTAGTTTTGCTCTTCTCTGGTAAGACATCTATCATTTAATTTTTTTTTTTAACAGTACAAAAAATAATCCAATCTCTAAATTTAAATGATTAAACTGCATTATTTCTCTGCCATCTCTATTATGATTTGCTAGTAAAATATTTTGTCTTTTGTGCTCTGTCTGTTTGCAGATGTCATTCTACAACACTGTAACTATTTGGCAGGACAATTAAAACCCACAGAGACCTAATTATAGACAGAATCAGGACTAGAGCTTCTTGGAAAAGAGCTGCTGAGGACATCCTCTGGGCTAAATCTACTTGCCTGTTAATTATGTCATTATTCTATTATTCCAGAGTGACACAGAGGACTGGAGTGGAGCTTGACCTGCAGGACCCAGAGAGCAAAGAGAGGAGATCTCCTGTGGACCTATGCAGCCATGACTGACTCCACGACAGCTCCCTCACCATCTCCTCCGTTGGATAATGAGGGTAATGAGATGCTGGCCCTGGTCCAAATTAAGCAGGTACAGCGTTCACACTGGTAGCGTTGCCCTTCGTGCACCTACCTAATAAATTTAGTAACTTGCCGACAACAGCGATGGGTGGATTCAGTCGATGATTGTGCATCTGAATGAAGCTGGGCCTGAGGGGGTGTTTGTGGAGCCTTTGCGGTTCTACAGTTTGAAGCTTTGGGCCCTAGAATTCAACTTACAACTCAAGTCTGAAGATTAATTTCTCTCCCAACAGATCTTTATTAGTATATTAGTAGGTCATGTTATAGTTTTAATTACAATACTCCTGACCTTGAATCATCCATCAAAAATCACTGTACCAAGACCACAAGCTCCTCACAGTAGATTTCAGATCCCTTTCCTTTTTTTTATTCCCCTGCTCCCAGACAAAGTGATGTCACTCAAAAGGCTATTATGGACCTCTAATGAACTCCAAATCCCATGCCAATACATTTCCACTGCATTATCGCTTCCTGACCCCTGGCCTCTCACTGGAATAGAGTTGAGAGAGCACTCCTGTCTGGAGAGATCCTCCTGTCATTATATAAATGCGCTCACAAAGCATGCATACTACGGTGATTACATTCACAATGGAGCATGTGCACATGTGTGTGTGTGTGTTTAATTAGCTAGCATATACTCCCAGCCTGACTAAACCCTTGTTTGGAGCTCCTTTTTACCAACATTAAATACCCTGGTGCAGAGATTCCAAAGCGTTTTTGGCCCACACCTTCA